TCTGTGCTTGCCCTTTAGCGATAGTTGGGAGCCAAGACTAAGGCTTGACTACTCCTTTTTTTTTCTTTACTTTGCTAGCTGGGTTATTTGCTTTCCTTATATGTAAAGGAGATCAGTATTATTTATGAGCCACTGGAATCACTGAGAGACAAGGATAGTACTGTGAAGCTTAAAGCCTCAATAATAAATTGTGGGTTTAAGAACATCATCAAACTTGGGAGGGGTAACTGGAATTGTTTCTAAACAGAGAGTAGTTTATATACAGACAAGTTTATACTTAGAGTAGGTACTTAGTAAATACTTGTTAAATGAATGATTAAATTAATTGTTTAATATAAGAATATTTTTATTGCTTAAAAATTTTTTATTTTTAGAGCAGTTTTAGGTTTGAGCAGAAGATTATCTTTTTTTAAAGTTTACTTTGCATTCTTAAGGGCAGTTTTTATTATGTTTTAGCAGGGAAGTGTCCCCCGTTTCCCTTCCTCCATTTCCCCCTGGAACAGAGCTCTGAAATTATGAAGTTGAATCAGTAGCAAAATGTAATTTGATTTCTCAACACTTAATTTAAATATTTATTATGAGGAATGCATCCATAATGTAAATTGAGGTAGAGCTATCCTGTTCTGTTCTTTAAACCTAGTGTTCTCAATTGTTGTGGAATATAGTTTACCTAGTGACTCAAAACATTGTTGTGCAGTGAGAGCCTGTGTGTGATAAGTGTTGGCTTTGTTTTGTAGTGGATACCAGGATCATCAGATCTTTTTTGTTTTTGTTTACCATTTTGGACTTGTTTCACTCATTTTCTTTTCACCTGCCAATGTACTTTAACCTTTTCTGAATGATTCAGGAGGTCTTGATAACTTTTTTTTTTTAAAGATTTTATTTATTTATTTGTCAGAGAGCGAGCGAGGGAGCACAAGCAGGGGGAGCGGCAGGCAGAGGGAGAAGCAGGCTCCCCAGGACCCTGGGATCATGACCTGAGCCGAAGGCAGACGCTCAACCGACTGAGCCCCCCAGGCGCCCTGGTCCTGATAACTCTGAACTGTACTTTGCCAGGCTATCTGTTTTGAGTTGTACTGGGTATGTTACCCTGCCTCTTGAACCTCAGTTGCTGTGCTATTTTTTGTGTGTTTTCAGTATATTTTTAGTTTCTTTCTTTCCTGTTAGGCTGCCAGCAGTTACTTTTGGTTGCTGTAGGTACGCTTGCCTCAGGTTAGCCAGTCTTTCCCCTCTGATATGCTATTTCTAATGTGATGCTAGTTTTGAAACTGTTACTGCCCTTGTGAGGATTAAATGGAAACTATAGTAAATGGATTCCGTAAGACTTGTACTTGCCGTTAAAGGAGGCAGAGAAACAGTAGGGTTCAGATCTCACCTTTGACTAGGTTTGTAACTCAGGGCAAGTTACTTCTCTAAGACTCAGTTTCCTCAATTATAAAGTGTGGACAGTAGCAACCCCTGGACTACACCAAAAGAAAAAACTTTTTGCATAGTGAAGGAAACCATCAACAAAATGAAAAGGCAACCTACTGAATGGGAGAAGATATTCACAAATGATATATCTGATAAGGGGTTAATGTCCAAAATACATAAAGAGCTTATATGATTCAACACTCCCCCAAAATAAATAATCTAATTAAAAAATGGGCAGAAGACATTTTTCAAAAGAAGACACGGATGGACAACAGACACATGGAGAGATGCTCAGCATCAGTAATCATTAGGGCAATGCAAATCAAAACTACAGTGAGATACCACTTTACATTTGTGAGAATGGTTAGAATCAAAAAGACAAGAAATAACAAGTATTGGTGAGGATGTGGAGAAAAAGGAACCGTCATACACTGTTGGTAGGAATGCAAACTGATGCAGCCGCTGTGGAAAACGGTATGGAGGTTCCTCAAAAAATTAAAAATAGAAATACCATTTGGTCCAGTAATCACACTATTGGGTATTTACCCCAAAAATGAAAACATGAATTTGAAAAAATATATGCACCTCTGTGTTTATTGCAGTATTATCTACAGTAGCCAAGATTTAGAAACAACTAAAGCCATCAATAGATGAATGGATAAAGAAGATACACACACACACACACACACGTGCATGCAGTGGAATATTACTCAGCCGTAAAAAGGATAAAATCTAGCCATTTTTGACAAGGATGGACCTAGAGGGTATAATGCTAAATTAAATAAGTCAGAGAAAGACAAATACCATATGGTTTCACTTATATATGGAAGCTAAAAAAAAAAAACAACGAATAAACAAAAAGCAGAAACAGACTCATAAATCCCCAGAACAAACTGAAGGTTGCCAGAGGGGAGGGAATGAGGGATGGGCAAATTGGGTAAAGCAGAGTGGGAGATACAGCCTCCTAGTTTATGGAATGAATAAGTCATGGAGATAAAAGGTACTGCATCGTAGGGAATATAGTCAGTGGTATTGTAATAGGGTTGTATGGTGACAGATGGTAGCTACACTTGAGGTGAGCATAGTATAATACATACTTTATGGTCTGAGAAAATCTGTGCCTTTTAAACCTCAGAGGGCAGGTGTATTAACAAACTACAGAATTTTCAAATAAATGAAGAATTCCATTACCTCACTATTGCTGTTGATGAATTGGCCTCTGACGACATGTAAGCATCAAAACTCACAGTGTCTTTTCAGGTGAGAGGCTGACATGAGCGACTTGATTAACTTTGAGAAAAATCTTATGAAAAAGGACTGTTGAACTTTCCCGAGTTTGTTTCTGCTTTGGAATATATCTTGTGTCATGTGAAGTAGTCAAATCTTTTTCCATGACCTGTTTTTATTGTTACAAAGTGTTATTTCTTAGGCACTAACTGGGTTTAGAGGTTACAAATTTAAAATCACAGCATCAGCAAATCTCATGGTTGGAAGGGATGTTAAAGATCATGTAGTCAACCTGTCAGATAGCTGAGTTCTCACAAAGCGTTCATTCACCCTTCAGAAGTAGGCAGATTCTCTGTCTTGGGCTTATTCATTCCATTATTTGAATCTTCAGAAACTCTCCTGTTAGAAAGTTCTTTCTTTCAGTGTTCAATGTTGAGGAATACTTTCTCTGTGGCTCACCCGTTGGTTCTGATTCTAACTCTTGGACAAATAGTCTAATCACTTGTCTACAATATTTAGGAAACTCTCCTGTTTTTCTCCAAGGCTATATGTCTTCTGATCTTTCATCTTTTCCTCTTGTCTCTTAAAATATAATGTTCAAAACTATGGACACTATTCCAGGTAGAGTCTGACCTGTGCTGAATGGAACAAAAATTTCACTTTGCACATTTGATACTATATTTCCATTACTGTATCTAAAATCACATTAATTTGGGGGACAACCTCATCATCACCTTGACTTCCTTTGAAGTTAATTGTCAACTTAAGCCTATAAAGCTTTTTCATACATAAATGGGCATGACTCACCTATCCTGTACCACTACAGTTCTTTAAGACCCAAGTGCAGGACTTTAGATTTACGCCTTTTCAAATTCATTCTGTTAGATTCAGCCCATTGAAACAGTCTGTTGAAGTATTTTTGGCTCATGGTTGGGTCATCCAGCATATTTGTCTTCCTGCCCAGCTTTTTGTCATCTGCAGATTTGATAAGTATGTTTTCTTTTCTCCATCTTAGTTGTTAACAGAGATGTTGAGGCAGTCCAGGCTGGAATCATTCCATTGTACCATACTATTGCTAGTAGAGTTTAATGGGCAGGATTAATTGTATATGGAGACGGAATTGTCAGTTTAGATCCAATATTCCATAATTATAGCAGGAAATGTCTTTTGGTGAGTAGTCCTATTGTAGCCGCTTAAAAACTATTAAGTGAGAGATAATAGAAGTAAGGATGTTCATTAAGAGTGAGATAAGGAACTAGTTTGGAAAGTTGATGATCCTGCTTATATTCTTATATATAGTTAAGTATAATATATATTTACTAATTAATAAAATAGAATACAATTCTTATATTCTTATGGAAGGTCTTAAGCAGAGACCTTTATGGACTGATTAGAGGCAATGTGGTATAGGAGAAGAATCCCTTAACTAGCCCTGAGATGTTTTATTCACTTATTTATTTAGCAAATAAATATTAAGTGCCTACTATACTTACTTAAGCCCTGGATATACAATGGTTAAAAAAAAAAACAGCCCAGACTTGATCTTTACCTTCAATGGAGCTTACATTCTAATGGGGGAAACGATTCAATAATTACACAGGTGAAATCAATACTTTCTGTGATCTGTATTCTAGATAGGTACTGTCCAACAAACAACGCAAGTCATATATTGAATTTAAAAGTTTCTAGTAGCTCCATTTAAAAAAGTAAAAAGAAAGTAATGAAATTTATTTTAATAATTTTATCTAACTCAGTATATCTGAAATAATATTTCAACATGTAAGCAGTTTAAAAAATTTGAGGTATTTGTATTCTTTTTGTTGAACTAAATCTTTGAAATCTTAAACTTATGCCACATGGCAGTTGAAACTAGTCACATTTTAAGTGTTCAGTAGCCACATATAGCTAGTAGCTTCTGTGTTGGACAGCACAGCACTGTGCCCATCTTTACAGACTACTTGGTGGTGTTGGGCAAATTACTTTCCTTGTGTAGGGCTCCTGTTTTCATTCAGTGAAATGAAAGATTTTGATTTGCTTAGCTTCTAACAACTAAATGTGGGTCCCTTGCATGTATGAGAGCATCTTTTGAAGTGCTCTAAATCTCCATCTTGATCTGGGTGCTGCTTACATAGGTATATATAATATGTAATTTATCAAGCTATACACTTAAGATTTGTATACTTTATAGTATTTGTGTTATACCTCAATGAAAGTTGTTTTTTTTTTTAAATAAGATCACTTCCAGTTTTTTTATTCTGTGTTCTTTGCTGAAATTACTCAGATGAGCTGACCTTCAGTATGAATATGTGATATAAAAAGTGCAAACAGCCAGTTACTCTTTATATCTTCTTCCCACCCAGGATGTGTCTAGTCCGAATGAAGCAGGAAGGCCGGAGTGGGAAATATATGTGTCGGATCATAGTTCATTTTATGTGGGAGGATGTTGAGCAGCGTGGCAGAGTCATGGGGGTAAGTGAAATGCTGTCCCATTCTGGTCCTGGAAAACTCCAATGAGGGATTGCCTGACTTGAGTTGATGCTTTTTTTTTTTTTAATAAGGGTTTTATTTATTTATTTGAGAGAGAGAGAGAGAGAGAGAGCACAAGAGGGGGGGAGCAGGAGAGGGAGCAGCAGACTCCCCGCTGAGCAGGGAGCCCGACGCGGGACTCGATCCCGGGACTCCAGGATCATGACCTGAGCCGAAGGCAGTCGCTTAACCGAGCCACCCAGGCACCCTTGAGTTGATGTTTTATGTGTTCTAGAGTGGCTTTGCTTTTAGATTTCTGTGTAATGCTGCCTAATGTCAGGTGGTAATTCAGCTAGAGTTGTTTCTGCCTCTATGGAGACTTTATGTGTTTGCACACAATATTATGGTTTGTCAATGCGAGGACATCCTGTGTGTGGAAATGGAATTATTAAGCCCAAGTAATGGTGGTAAGAGGGTTGGATTTGTTGAATGGAGGAAATCAAATAATAATTGAGCTTTAGGATGCTGTGCCTTTGACACCAATTCAATGTTTGAACCAGTCCTCCTCTAAATTTGTTCTGATGGAAATACCCTGGCATCATGCCTGCACTGTCCTCAGAAACTGAAAAACAAGCTCCTTGATCACTAACAACCTAGAATAATTTGGCAAGGTATCTAATGAAAATGTACATTAGTACATTTAATAATTAACCTGAGAAAGGGGGATATATAGTATATATATATATATATATAAAAACATAGAATGTAATGGTAATAGAAAAATGAAACTAAAACATTAGAATACAGTTGTTTATATAAATAGTAATCTTCCTTTGGGTATATTGCATATTTTTGTGTCCAGACCATATTTTAGTAGATTGTAAACCTTGTTTTCTTCCATTTCATTGCCTCCCAGCTTAGGATCATCTAAAGCAGAACCATCAGATGGGGTCACAAAATGGGTTATTTTGGTTTTTTTTCATTACAGTGTTCTCCCTACAGACTGAGGAGTAAACAGTTTATATATGTTCTATAAAAGTCATACATGTTCATAGAATAAAAATCAAAAAGTAAAAAGCATTTAATGTAAAGACAAGTGTCTTTTCCCTATTCCAACTCCCCAAAAGTAACCATTGTTAAGAGTTGATGTGTATCTTGGGGCGCCTGGGTGGCTCAGTCGTTAAGCATCTGCCTTCGGCTTAGGTCATGATCCCGGGGTCCTGGGATTGAGCCCCACATCGGGCTCCCTGCTTGGCGGGAGGCCTGATTCTCCCTCTCCCACTCCCCTCCCTGCTTGTGTTTCCTCTCTCGCTGTCTCTCTCTGTCAAATAAATAAATAAAATCTTAAAAAAAAAAAAGAGTTGATGTGTATACTTCTAGCTGGTTCCTATATAAATGCAAATTATAAATACGTATTCTTTAACATAACACAAATGGGCTTAACCATACACAGTTTTGCATCCTGGCTTTTTAACTTAATATATATTAGATACGGATTTTTTTAAAGATTTATTTTTTATTTTTTTTAAGATTTATTTATTTATTTTATTAATTTGAAAGAGAGACACAGAGATAGTGAGAGAGAGCACAGGCAGGGAGAAGAGGGAGAAGCAGGCTCCCCGCTGAGCAGGGAGCCCCATGTGGGACTCAATCCCTTGGGATCATGACCCAAGCCAAAGGCAGATGCTAAACCCACTGAGCATCCAGGCAACCCTAAAAGATTTTTTTTTTTAAGTAATCTCTACACCCAATGTGCGGCTCAAATTCAGCACCCTGAGATCAAGAGTTGTTCCAATGACTGAGCCAGCCAGGTGTCCCTATACTAGATATGTTTTTATTTTATGATTGTTTTTAAAATTCAAAATGTTTCAACTAAGACGGAAATCCCTTTAATCATCAATCTCATTCCTGGCCAGTTACCTCCTTCCAGGAGGTAATCACTGTTTCCACTTTGGTATATATCTTTTAAGGCCTTCTTCTATGTTATCTATAGAAAATATATACTGTTGGTTTTGTGTGTGTATATTTGATTATACATGATATTGTCCTCCGTGTACTAATAGCAATTAATATGTACTTAATTTTTTTCACTCAGCAATATGTCTGGAGATTTTTCCGTGCTCCATGGGAGTTAAGTGGGAGGTCGTCACCCATGTTGTATTTATTGTAATTATTTTCACACACTCCTGTGTCATTGACTAATGGTATCATGTGCTTACTCTATGTGTAAAAGTGTGGTCTTTGAGGCTCAATCATGGAGATGATGGTTTCCTACTGAGAGGGTATTTCCAAATTCTCGTATCTTTGGAGGAACTGCAAACATAGGAAGCACAGTGGACATGGATTCATCTTAAGATGTCTTCAGTGACATATACATGCCTTTCTTTGGGACAGTAGACCATTGGTGTTTCTGTTCATTCTAAAAAGAGGATAGCATATGTCAGAATTTTAGCTGCTGTCAGCATCATCATCATTTGTTTTGGAGTCAGTGAATACTGACTGTCTTTGTGTGTTCTTTGGTTGCTTGTTCATTTTTTTCACTGTCAGGCCTTTCTGCTGTCTTTGCTACCCAGAGTAGATCAGCAGCCTTGAAGCTATTTGTGTAGCTGAGTGTCCCACATACCCTCAGGTACTTGTATCCAACTCTGTGGCAGCACCCAGTGGACATACGGTGGTGCTGCTAGTACCAAATCATTTAATGATAGCCAGTGACACCCCCTGGCCAGCCACAGCCTTGGCTGACTGCCGTTCAGTGACACAGTAGTTCTTCTAATTAGTTAGCCTGTGTTTTCTTATCACTATTGACTGAACTTGCCTGGACGTTGGACTGCTAGACCCATGTGGGTCACATGGCTTAATGAGCCATACATTACTGACTCTTGAACTACAGGAACCTTTTAGTTATTAACCCCCCCATGAATTTCCCTTGGACCTCCATAAATATCTCCATCACAATCTCCAGCACTTTGAACCTTCTGTGTTACTTTATAATGTTACTTCCACTTGACTGCATGCTTTATAAAGGCAGGAGACTTGTTTTAACCACACATTTTTGCTTACATGGTAAACATTGGATGAATAAATACTTGTTGAATGAATGAATAAATTGAATCTCAGCCTCTGAAATTCTGTTTTGAAGCCAACTTATCAGATAGATGATGCTTGATTTATTTGTTTCTAGACCATGTGTGCATCAGTGCAGTCCTGTGGGAGTTAGTTTTTCCTTTTCTTTTTTTCTTTTCCTTCATTTTATCCACCCATTTTTCTTTGTGAATTTTTCTGGATACGATGTCTTATAGAGAAGTGTGTTAGATCGGTGTTTCTCACACTTTAATGTGCCTGTAGTCCACCTGGGGATATTGTTAAAATACAAATTTGATTCAGTAGGTTGGGGTGGAGCCAGAGAGTCTACATTTCTAGAAAGCTTCAGGTGATGCCAGTGCCACAGATGGAGCAGGGTGAGGATGTGGCAACCACGCTTTGAATAGCAAGGTTTTAGATGATCCATAATGCTCCCCAAGTACAGACTTGTAAACTCACCTGCATGAAGAGAAATGTCAAGCCCCAGTTCAGTCACAAAGACTATAAATAAAAGATGGTGATTTAAAAATAACAGATGTTTGGAAGAGTTGGGGAATTGCTATTACTGCTTTTCTATTGTAATTGACTTGGTCCCCCCATACCCCTATTCCAAACTCATGGTATAAACAGATGCCCTTTATACAGGCAAGAAAACTGTATTTTAACCACTTCTGTTATGAGTGTGGTTGTGTGTGTAGAGGGGTTCTCAGTCTTGCGTGTGTGTACAACCTAAAGAAATGGGAAAGTTAGGGACATGTGGCTGGAGAAAGTAGTAGGGAGCCAGTCTGGCCTGGTTCTGACCTGGCTGCCAAGTCTCTCCTCCTCAGTGCTTCAGTTTCTTTTAAAAATTTGAGTTGGGGTGCCTCAAAAAATCTGATTTGAAGGTGGTAATTTGTAAATCTGTCTCTGTGTAATTTGGCATCCCAAGTGTACATCTTTAAGAAAACTTATATAAAAAGTAGAATTTATAAGACTGATCAGTGTAGTGGTGATCTTTTTCATGCCAAAGAATTCTTAGAGGCTATTACTTTGAGTGGAACCACTTGTGAATTAATGGCGAATCAGAAATTTGAATCAAGAACTCCTTTGAAATTAGAATTGCAGTCTCATTTGGTGGGGAAATTTTTATTAAAAAATTTATGCTTTTTATCAGCTTTTTAGGAGCCCAACTATTGTGAAAAACAAGGCAGACTCATATATCATTAGTGAAGCCGGTATAAAATGCAAGTGTTAAATTTGAGGTTACAGAAATCACATCAATAATTTAGAGCGTTCTGACTTAAAAAAAAAACACATTATTTGGGATTTAAACATATAAATTAGCTGTGGAAATAAAGTTCATTATATCACCTCATCTGGTCTTGTTTTATTTCATTAACTGGTTCTTAAAAACCTTTGTGAGCTGAGTTGCAGCTGAAGAGGTTGGAGACCATTTTTCCTTGGGCCCTTGCCTCACTCCTGAGTGTTGGTAAGAGTAGAGAACTAAGACTTGACACAGCTGTAAAAACAGACAGGCCTTTGGCCTCAGCACTTTCTCCTGGTGCAGGCACATTTCAGATGTAAATTTCACTTTCTGCCTCTCCTACTAATGAAGTAAGTTTCTTTTGCTGGGTTTGCAGCCAGGTGTGTCCAGTCTTGTGGCTAACCCTGGCGCTTTAGTTAATTTTTCCATTTGTGACATTTCAACCAAACTTAAAAAACAAACATAAAAATTAGCTCAAGGCAGTGGCTCAAAGTGTTAATGGTAACCTTAGGCTGGCTAAACGACTTCCTCTCAGTTCTGCCCTGCCAGACATCTCCACCTTGTGGCTCACAATGAGCAGGTTTAAGCTTTCCAAGCCTTGGAGACTAGGTGGGAAAGAGTATTAAGAAATTCCAAGTTTATCAATGGTCCCTGGAATGCCAGTTGTCTCATCAGGACT